GAGGTGACTTCGAATGGACAATGACGGAGTTGAAAAAACGTGGAGATGTATTCAGCACTATGTATGAAAAGCTGTCTACACGGCTGAAAAAGGCAAGTTAATAATAGCATTGTTTCCAGATATTTTTAAAATTATATTAACGATTTAGGGTCAACTGGTCTTTCACGATCATCGATTTTGGACATATCCTCACCCTTATTGTAAGATGAAATCAGTGGCTCGCGAGCTGTACGTACAATTGACGGAAGCTTCACTGATCATGTTCAAAGGAGATCTGAATTATAGAAAATTAGTTGGCGATAGAGACTGGCCGTATAGTACTCCATTGAAGGTGGGTACAGATATCCTTTCTCGGCATTCTTCTGACGAACCTCAGCTTTTTCCTGATGAAGTGTAGTCGCGTCCACAGCATGTGGCGCGAGCAATGTAAGATTGCGTTTATACTTTGAATCAGCGTACGCCAGCGGGCACTTTTGAACTTGAGCAAAACTGCCCGCGAAGACGCTGCTGTACGCTGGCGCACTATGAACGCTGCATAAAAGCAGTCCCCGCTTTCAAAAATGATTATTTATGTGACCCAAATACTAATGACGAGGTGCTAAAACTCAGAAAAGAAGAAAAAGCAGAAAAATCCGTCCTAGAATGCTTCATATAGTACTTCATGCCCAACCGCATAAGAAGTGAGGCAAAAAAGGGCGTGGTCGGACGAGTTCTCACTCGTTGAGAGTAGCTCTTTCTCCTTATCACCTCGCTCTTACCACTTGAAATGGAAGAAGCAGAACAACCGCATCGCCTTGGATACCTTCAGAAATGGAGCTAGGCGTTGCCGTGGCTAGTGGGCGGGGCGTGGCTTCGTGACGAGCGAGTCGCGCTTTCTTGTGTACCTTGAGCTGCGAAAGTAGCCCATTCCTCATGCTTGCTGGCAGGAGTACCATGTCCAAAGAAAGCGTCTGAATATGAAACGAAGGCGAAGTGTGTCGTTGAGACCATACATTGCCTTGTGTACGTCGCCTTGGCAACACTGCTCTTTTTTTCATTGGTTGACTGCTCGGGGTCCGTAGTGCTCCATAGTGTCGAGTGCTCCGTCCCCTTGGAAGGGGGGGGGGGGGGAGGAAGTGGTTGGGTAAGTCAGGAGATCCATGCTCGGCATTTGCATCAGGACTCAATAGAGTGGACCCGTAAACCGTTCAATGTCGAGTAAACGGGAGTACTAGGAAATACTGGGCCCAAAGTAGGTCTCCTGAAATGAAATTTCTCTCCCCTCCTCGTGCGACTTCTCGCTTTTTCGTATTTTATCCCCTTCCGCGTCCTTTGTGGCACTCAGAAAACCTATTTCAGACAGCTTTATGCGGTTTCCTGCCGGCACCAATACTCGCCCTACGGACCCTCAAATCGGAAACAGTAGCTGGTCTTCCAGACGCTGTTGCTGCACGTATGGAAAAAGAACCTGACCAAAAGTGGATGGTCACTGGAGAGCATGGAATAGCACAGCTTGCTTATTGATCTTATTAAGTTAATTAATTGATTTCATATTTCCTTCTTGAAAGTCTGTCGACAATCGCGCTGTTATTAAGGAACTGTTCAGCTTGTTGTGTAGCAGCCGCCTGCACGTACGAGTAGGTCCATGTGTTAAGGTACGATTGTCGCACGGCCAATTCAATGTTACTGTTTGGATTTACAGGGTACCTGGGGTGAATGGCATTTAATATTTTACGGCCTTTAACCCTTTTATGGCGTTTGCGTGTATCCCATATCCCGCACGCTTCAGTTTCGCCTACCCCTATACCTAATCTGAGTTCTGCATCCCGGCGTCACAAGGCACGTCCTGCGATTCAAAACTTCGATCGGGTGTGATCTCCTGGAAAAGTTGTAAAATGATCTAGGGAGGTAACCGTACTCAGGGCGCGCAGTAGGTAAGAACAGTAGAATCGCCGCTACGGTGAGCGGACCTCACGATAGGGCGCGAGGCTTGTAACGTCGCAATGGAGGCGCAAGGACAGATGGGTGTGGTCGACGAACCGACCGGCGGTGCGAGCGTGCGCCCCTCGGGCCCCGCGCCCGCGCGCACCCCCTCACGTGTATTGGTATCGATATGATTATAATTCTCTGTTCCGCACACATTTTTCTTCCTCACTGTGGAATGAAGGGACTCACCAGAAAAAACCACGCGTTTCTATGCTCTGCGCTCGACAGAAAAGAAAATTGGGCGTGGCGTAGGGCAGTGGGCGGCACCTGCCTTTGTCCTGATGAGCAACTGGACCCCTTATCAAGTACTTTCGTGTCGCGAAAGTGGTACATCCTTCATCCCTGCGGACTGGATTGCTTTGTCCAAGGAAGGCGTCTGCATATCAAGTGAACGCGTGACGTGCCTTTAAACGTAAATTGTGAGCCAGTCTCAAAACATATGCCAATACGCTGTTACTTCCAGCTTGCTGAGTGTAGCCAGCTTAAAGCTACGTCTTCCGCTATAATCGAATGGGCGGGGACTCTCAAGTATTGTGACTTTCTTGCTAGCGTGCTCTTTACGTACTAGAAGGTAGTGTACCAACGAAAAAGGCTAAAAGATTGTAAATCTCCGCCCATTTCATTATTAGGAAGTGTGTCTTTAATTGCTCTATCTCTGTTAGGCCTATAACAACGTGCAACGGGGCTGTGCTTGTGAGAATTGTATATAGTTTGTGATCGATTTTGATGCGATTTTTTGAATGAAGTTAATAATGTCGAGTGATTTTTTGTACTTCCTAAAGACAGCAATAGGAATGCCACCCTTTTCTCAAAGTCATGGAAATTATGAAATCAGGAAAGGTCGTGCTGAACCGATAACCCACTTCCTAATTCTTACAACTAGAGAGTCAGGCCTGAAGCCTTTGGAAACAACTGACTTCTGATTCGTAAGGCAGCGTTCATACTTGTAGCGCTACAGCGCCGCGCTACAGCGTAGTGGGAAGGTATAATATGAACAAGAGAAAGTGAATACAGAAAATGAATACAGAATCCAATGCCGCTTATGGATTGTGGAACGAAATCTGCTTTTCGAATTTGCCCCAATCTCTGCCTGGATCACAAGAAAAAGATTCATGCCGCGTTTTCGAGGCCACATGCGAGCTAACAAAGTTTTGAAATTTATAGCTTTTTGGCTAGCGGTAAAAGGCCTATCTCCCCACAGGTACAGCGCGAACCGCTGTGTGGTCACCACCTGGTTAACCAAGGCAGAACAAGAGTTCCTCTTATGGTTCTTCTGTCTCCGGTAAAAAAACATGCGTGCGTGTTTTTAGGTGGCGCGAGTACTCTTTGGGTGTTTTTTGCAGAAAATGCTCTTAATAGGAAGAAGGACATCGTTACGGCTAAAAGATAACCAGAAAATAGCGATAATAGAGTAATTGTAAGGATGGTCAGATAGTACCGCTGTATCATCCACGGTTTCTGTGAATGTCTCAAGAAAACTCAGAACAGATTCCCACTTTCTCTGTAAGGCAACTCTATCATCCGTACTGGAAATGCAGGCACTTGAGAAGCGGCGTCTGTAGGGCTACGAGCGAGCGCGACGCTGTAGCCACCATACGATTTTTAGGTAGGGCCAGTGGCTCACAAAAGAATTAGGCGTGAGGTTGAAGTGCCTGCGATAGCGGAATGCGACTCACACATATTTGACGCCTCATACTGAAAACAATCCCAGTTTCCCAAGAACAGGCCGGATCTTAATCAAGTTATTCTCTACGTAGGCAGATTTGGATAAGTTGGGTTTCAGAGGTAATTGACCTCCTGAACTTAACATCGCACCCACTTGGCCTGACCTAGGGTGTTTTGGCGCTGGCGCTGAAGTAACCTAGGTACTATCCGCTGAACTGTATACGAGACCATTGTAACATCTTGATAAGATATACCATTCTTTATTGGGCGCTGGATTGAGAAAGACGCTCGTGATTATTGCTGCTCTGGCTCGACCTGGCTGAACCTAAAGGAAAATCTTCTGCGCAGGCTCGCCAGAAGGGTTAAAGGTGGCTGGAGGTGAATGTCTATTATGGATCAGCGCATCAAACAACCGTCATTGTGACGTCTCTTATCAAATTTTGATGAAAAGAGTGCTCCAAGTCGCGCCAATGGCAGGGAACGAAACTAATTCGGTATCGTGCAGGACATCAAATAAGCATACCATGCAAATTTACGATTTGGCTGGGAGGTGGGCGGCCAAGGCGCCAACGCGCAGCGCGTTAAACAAGTGTATATTGGTGCCTGGGAGACGACTTCTCTAGGATTTTGGGGTAGTAATAGTGCCCAATTGGAATAGTGCGCATTTAATGGTTTTTCATCGTTTCCAAAGCAACAATAGGGATGCGAGTTCACTTCACATCATTCGACTTTGGTTTAACAGCCGATTGGTGTCTTATTACCAGTGGAATAGGATAGACATAGCAATGGAAAAAAATCATGAAACGCTATTCGACGTTGGCAGACGAAAGCTGTCATTCTTCCTCTCAGCTCAATAACAATTTTTTGACGAAAAAGGTCTGCTTTTTTTTCTCCAACAATAGTTTAGTTCGACTTCCTGCAGTGCATTATACCTGAAATAGTTCACGCTTCTGTGCAGCAACGCAGGCACATGTCGGCAAATCGGCTGCGACCGTTTTCAGGTAACGCGCGTCGAATTGTGCGAGTTCCGTGTCGACTACTGCCATCACACTAAAACTCCGCCTAAACCCTTTGTGATCCTTGCGCCCTACGTGAATTAGATCGTATTGTGTAAGCGCCACAGCAGTGAAGCGCTGCCAGAATCGCATTCAACGTCGCAATGATTGGTGTGGGAGAGAGATTCGCGTCTGCGGGCGACGCGGCACTGCTGCAGAGAAAGGACAATCGGATTTGACGTGAAGAACGTCTACCTGGGGGTGGCAATAGCTTAGAAGATACTGGTAGGAATGTGGATCTACGGTCGTTCCGACGGAAATACTTGGCTCTAGCTTCGACGTCCGAGAAATCATAAAAGTAGGAAGCATCTGACGTTGATCATTATAATATCTCTTCGGTGCTCTAGCATGGTGATTATCGCATTGAGGACCGGTTAAAGAAGTGCTCCGGGCTCGAATTAGTAACGCTCAAGTAGTAGGTCAGTCCTTCATTGTGTCGTAGAGGCAGCCCCCCCAAGCTAGGGGCTATCCACCGCTGCGATTCCTATCAGCGAGCGAGGAGTGAGCTGCGCCGTGAAATAGATTCTAGTATCTAAAGTCCGCTCAGTTGGACCGCCGATTTGCTAGATCCTTGCGATCGGAGGGGAGGCTCAGTTGTTCGTTGTTGAGCGGCAGCATGGATCGAATTGGCATGCTTTTCGCTGACAGCGCTCATGCCCATGAATGATTCTGTTCTCCTTTATAACATTTCATTAATTAGGAGCTAGAGTCAACTCCAACACATCTCGCAAGATAAACGCGTAAAAATCAGGAGCGACCCAATTTTCGTGGTGCAAAAGCTCGACGCACTTCACTACCTTAAAATATGCAGCTACGTAACCCTAAATTCGGACGCCGGCTTTTTAAATGTTTCCTTTTTCTTTTCAAGAGTTTTTCCTCTATGTTTCTGTTGTTTTTTGTTTTCTTTTCTTCGCATTCGATGATATCCACTACTGGGAGATGTGACAAAGTGATTTGTGAGCCAGGGCTTGCACAGAGACCGCAGGGAGGTGTGACTGTCAGGGCGCGATTTTGTTTATGGTGTTCTTGAGGCTCTTCTTGCTTTTTTCTTTTCTGGGGAATTACTTATCAGCTACTGTTTCATAATTGAACATCAACTATCCATGACACTTATCGCGGGAGCTGTCTTTAGGCTTTTGAGTGCCGTCTAACGCATACAAGGGCTTCCTGTGGTCGGGCAGGTGCAAATAAATGTTTCCCACTCCCGAAGGAGTGCAGGACCTAGCAGACCAGAGGGGTGTGAAGCAGGTTCCAAGAGCGAGCAGCGAGGAGAAATGCTCGATGTGGAGGAAAAGCCCCGAAGCGTGGCCAAGGTTCTGGGTAATTGAAAATGGTCGAGTAGTAAGTAAGAGTGGAAAAAGGAGAGGATAGGTCAACGATGTTATGGACGCACGATACTGCGACCCACTCTCAGTGGCTGTAATAAGACTCCCTCTTCTTGTCCAGGAATCCTCAGCGAGAGCGTGTTCAGTGTGGGTCATTGCGGCGATCTTGCTCAATACGTCAGAAATCTTCTTGAGCATTACGACCACACTTTCGCTGCCCTACAAAAAGTTTTTACCAACGTAGGTAGGGGTATTGAGCAGCTTTTCTTGTCCATTGAGTGCCGTTCTATGAAAACAGCAGCTCAAATTGAGACACATGGAATACTTTTCTAATCGTTGACGAGCACGTGCTGGCGATATTGAGGATCAAGTCCTAGGAGTGAATCTTGGCCGATTCCGAAAGCGGAAGTGGGAAGTTTGAAGGGGATTCGACACGTTCAATATTTGGCAACGATATCAGCACGATGAACTGGTGCCACGCAGCCCGAAATTT